GTAAAGTGGTACGGTCCAACGTGGTTGCGTGAGCTACACTGTGTGGCGGAGAGATTAAGATGGCGTGATAAGAACTCTACGCACTGAAATTAAATAGGTTAAAAAAACAAAACAAATTGTAATGTGAATAAAACATATTACTTCTTTATATAAAGGTCATTACATGTATATTCAGTCATCTTTTCCGGTTGCCGGGAATACAGCTAAACTTTTCACACCAAAGCTTACATCAACGAAAAACCCAAGATGTCTGACATTTTGGTATTATATTGATCATGATGTCGGTAAATTGGAGGTGTATCTGGAAATATTAGATGTTGTTGATAAGATCTGGTACAGTAAAACAACTACGGAAAACCAATGGAAATTAGCCAAATTGGACATCGTACCAATAAGCTCCGACTTTACAGTAAGTAGGGTCTGTGATGTCTTTATAATATGACTGTAGCACAACAGTTATTTAATTATCAATAATAATAATAATTGTTTGATGAATAACACTAATTTATTGATGGATAATAATAGATAGATAGATAGATTGGTTAATGATCGATCGATCATCTGATCGATTGATCATCAATCAATTGATCGATCGATTGATTGACTGATTTATTGATGATTAAGAAATTGATGACGGATTGATTGATTAAGTCAATTAAATGATTGATTGATCGATTGACTTTGACTGACTGATTAATTAAATAATTGACCGAATGATTGATTATTGTCGGATTGAATGACTGACTGGTCGATTGACTGATTTTAATTAACTTATTAATGTATATACAGTATATATACATACATTTGTGTAAATAATATTCTAATTAAGTTTGCTGCATAGCACCGTAAACATTATTTAAACAAATGGAAAGCGAGAGGTTGCAGGTTCAAATGCTGCCAGACTTTTTCCATTGAAAAAGTTGAAGCTGAGATATGTTAGGCACTAAGCACCCTGGTGACCTAATTGTTTATGTATACAGAAGTAGCACTGATAAACAAATTTACTAAAACCAGAAATTAACAGTGGAATAAATTGAACAAATGGATTATACCATCTAAAATCAGTAAATAATGCACTAATTTTTAAAACAAAAAACCAGATTGACGTTGGTAATGATTTTTTTTAATAATACAAAAATGGGTATAGCTGCTTCTTATCATACATGGTTACATAATCAAACTTAATCTCTTAAGTACACTTAACCTGCCTAATCATTTTTCTATTGTATTGACATATTTTGCAAAACCTCAGCAAAGAGAATGTGGAAGAAGCGATGTAACATTTGGTGTAGTTTAAGCTGACTGTGGTGTTATGTATAGAAATTGTGTTTTTCTTTCATTTTTTTTTTGTTCATTTTCATTTTCTTTTGATGCAGAATTGGATTGTCACTTTGTATTGGACCTGAGTGGCACTCTATAAACATTGGCTGGTGCGGGCTTTCGCAGTGTGGATGGGCCTTACTGGGATGGCTGGCTGGCATATCTCTTCATGCAAGTCAACTTTCTCGGCCCGGTGGCTCATTCACGCGATAGTGGGAGCCCGCAGGAGCTTGTGTCTGTGGTGCGGCATACTGGCTTACAATGCAGGGCGACAGCCTTATCTGTTTTTTTTAAATAAGTAATTTAAATATATAGGCCTACGCACACACTGTATGTACAGGTGTATGTGTATGTATGTTTTCATGTTGTATGTTTAGTTAAGTTGTTAGATTTCATTTAAGTTATTTCTCTTGATTAACGCACCACTTGAGTGCCACTGATGTAAATGGTATCTGCACAGAGTCAATAAATTATTATTATTATTATTATTATTATTATTATTATTATTATTATTATTATTATTATTATTATTATAATTATTATTATTATTATTATTATTATTAATATTATTATTATTATATTGGGCTATGCTTGATACAAATATAACATATTATTTATATTTGGGCACAATGTACATTTATGTGTGTGTGTGTGGGGGGGTGTGGGTGTGGGTGTGTGTTTGTGTTTGTTGCTTCCTCGTAATTTTATTATTATTTCATTTATAGATACTGTTTCAAGGGACAGTTGGAGAAAGTTATTACAGAGGTGCCATCGCCATTGATGACATTATGCTTGATGACTGTGAATCTGTTGTCAATCATATTGCAAAATTTTCATGCAATTTCGAGAATGACATTGCTGGGTGTGGTCTGTTCCAGAGATATGACGACGACCTAGATTGGCTTTATTTCAATAACTATGGTGTTCATGGACTATCGGGTACTCATAAAAGCTTTTAAAAATTGCATACAATTTAAATGGTAACGAGTCTAGTTCTATATATTTAAATGAGAATACGTATTAATTAATTCAATATCGATGAAAGACGGAATACGC